AAGATCTCTATCTCCTGGTAAAGCTCATTCTTTGCAGTTTGAATTTGTTTGTTTAGTTCGTTTTCAAAATATACTTTCAATGCTTGGACTTGCTGTCTCATGTCTTCTCTAATATTCCATTCCATCTGAGTTAGGTATGCCTTGATTTCTTTCCCTGTCCATGTTTCTGATGCTTCTAGGTCCTCCTGTAGATGTAACTTGTCCTGCATTATCTGTAATCCTTTTTTCCCTTGTTTTTTCATGTTGTTCACGTTCACAAAGGTTATTTAATGTCTGCAAATACTTTGAGAGAAAGCATATAGGCTTTAAAGTCATGATAAAAATACCACTAAAAAGCCGTATTCACAAAATGATGGATTTTTTAGACATACTTCTGCTGGAGGTAGTGGCATTCTCTTATAGTTCCAACTACCCCGAAAGTTGAGGGAGGAAAATTCCTTGAGCCAAGGATTTCAAGGCCAGCCTTTGGGAGACCCTGTCTCAATGAATAGAAAAAACTCCATCATCTCAAGACTACAACATATATTAACATTTCACCTAAATGTTATCTATTAAATTCTTATGACTGGTGTAGTGGTTTCTTATTAAAAACCTGATGTAATATTAACTAGCATTTATTAAGTATTTACTCTTCTTTTGGTATTGTTTCTACTTTAATCTATGAATATGCTTACACTTTGTACCCTTTGAAGTGTTTGAATACTTAAATATTTTACTGATAGGCAAACTGTAGCCAAAAAAATAGGATACAAAATTGTGTTTTATGTGTATGTTCAAAAGCCGAAGAAAATGCAAAATTAATATTATTATGTTATGAAGATGTGACCTGTTAATTTTTTCTTCTTCAGTTTTTTAGTCTGCTATGTAAATAAAATTAATCACTGATTCTAGATTCTCTGTAACTAAGAGTAGATTTGTGTGACCAAATTAAAAATAATAAAAGTATAAAAGTAGTATTATATCTTTAATTATTTTTGTACATGTGATTCCATAACACATTGCTTTATTCAGAATTATAGAAAGTATTAGTGGAAATTAACTAATTCTTTTTCTCTAAATTGTGGTACAATGTACATAAAATTTACTGTTTTCTAATATGTGGTTCTGTGGCATTGAACACATCCACGTTGTTGTGCAACCATCACCACCATCCATGGACCATCTCATCCTCCCAAACTGAAACTGGACTCCCCATGGCATTTCATGGCAACCAGCATTCTACTTTGTTTTTCTGAATTTGCCTACTCTAAATAGCTCATATAAGTCATTATAAAACATGATTCATCAGCCCTTTTTTCTAATAATGGGAAAATAATGTTACTTCGGAAACTTTTGGAGGCATACTATGTAGACCACATCTCATGGTCCTAGAAAAAGGCAGTTGATTACTTTGTGAGGATATTCTTTTAAAGGTTAATTTGCTAAGAATTAGAAAGCTTGTGTTTGTATAAATAGATAATAGTTGATTTTCTAAAAAGTTCATAAACCATCTCATTTAGTTATTATGACTCATTGTCTATTGAGCTTTCTTTCATAAAAGAGTTTACTTAAAAGAGACCCTAATTATTGAAAGCTTATGGCTGTTCTCAATATGCAGATGGTAGAAAATTCCTTCTCTGAGTTCTCATGGAGAGCTCACAAACATGTGATGACTAGGTCTTCAACAGAATCCCTGAAGTAAACATAGAATCCTTTCAGATTGAGCCAGAATGAACCAGATCATTCTCTTATGTAAGCTATGAGGATGTGATAGTTCATTTAGATGTTGAGAAGAATAAGTGAATTGTGCTCAGGTAATCCTTGGTGAATTTATTTCTTTTGATTGGCCTTATGATTAAACAAGGCAGTAGATAGTTTGAGGGAAATATCTCCAACAGCACATAGCATATACATTAGAAGAACAATGTGCTATGTGATAGTCTATAAAGAACATTAAATCCTTCATAATAGCTCATGCCTTCCGTGATAGCACCCACCCTTCACCCCATMCCTCCTCTAGTGGTGGCTAGAGATGCTCAGTGAGATGTGTTCTAGCAAGACCTTTCTAGCTCAGTAACTGTTGGGAAAGTCCCAGTTCTTCGCCATTGCAGTTACCCTGTGATATGTTCACCATCACTATTTAAACCATTTCCCCCCTCCCTTACCATGTGTAGCATGAAATTAGATGATCAAAACATTTGAAAAATAATAGAGATTAAGGAACTTCCCAAGGATGCATTCAGTTGCAAATTTGAACCTTGGAACTCAGGTTTCTGATGCCTGGTCCAATGCTGTCTCTGTGGTTTTGATCTTCTTTATTGAGGCACAATGGAAATATGGAAAAGTGGACATATCATTAAGTGTATAACTCCACAAATTGTTACAAAGAAAGCCTTCATATCAGGAAAGAACATTGCCCTTCGTGTTCATGGAGAGAGACATTAGAATGGTAGTTGACAGGGGCCGGAGCAGGAGGGACGGTGAACTAATGTCTAATGGAGGCAAAGTTTCATTTTGGGAAGACATGAAAAAGTTCTGGAAATGGAGAATGTTGATTGCCCACCATTGTAGATATACAAGACGCTTCATGTTTTATCAGATCACAGCAACTACCAGAGCTATGGATTTTGCAAGTCATGAACAGGCCCTGCTCAGAAACCCTGAAAGGCCTATGTGTGAGTGGGCAGAGTGACTGGTGAATACACAAGGTGATGCCTCCACACCTGGCCTCCTGGCTCTGATAGAATCAGAGCCACATTGRGAGCATCTGCAGGGCTGATATTTCACACTTCACACTAAGATAACCTTAATGGCATGTTTTATGCACTTAAATGTATGCTTGATTCTTCTCACAATAGTTATTTCACAAGTTGATATATGCTACAAAGGAAAGAATGTGTACAATATAGATGTTAGTTATGAATCAGAACAATGASCCAACACTGAGGAGCATACTGTCTAGCTGCCATACATTATAAATCATTTAAAATTGTGTTTTATTTACTTTGTCTTGTAACCTACAAAAATATTTTTGAATATGTACTATTGTGAACATGGTATTTGCTAAGTGTTAATGCTGAGGTGTTCTGATCCTTGTCATTTCTAGCATCTCTTGATATGAGCTTAATGGGAATTGGTTCCAAAGTAAGGGTTGTTTTCCATATAGGAAGAGAGAACATATTGTGCACAGAGGCCTTGGGGCTTTCAGTGGAGAGCAGGTGGGTTAGTGATCATTCCCACCTGCCTTGGTTCAGTATTATTCTCCCTTTACAGCCAGCCTCAGACCGGAAGTCAGCACTTCTCCAGTGACTGGAAGTGGAAGTACTGCTTCACCTGTGGAATGGGTGTTTAATCAGGGAATGGAAGTGTTGCTTTACCTGTGGAGAGGTTGTGTTGCTGGGTTTTGTTGTTCTTATTTGGGAGGTGGTTTTCCTAGGAGTGCACATGAACTCTTGAAACTTCATAAGCATAAATGGCTTTCCTCTAGCTTTCCCACATTTGGAGTCTGCTCCTTAACCTTCATTTCTCAGAATTGAAACTTGTGGCACACTGGTTTGGGAGTAAAATTGGTTTGGGAGTTGATTCTCTTCACTGAGTTTAGCAGCCACTCCTCTTCCATAAGAGCCTATGATGTGGATGCATAAGGGTCTTTAAAGCCCCAATGAAAGCTCATGTTTCTGTCTTCTTCAGAATGGCACCAAACCTCCCCTGGATGCAGATGTCAATTTGGAAGCAATTGCTGGTGATCTTCGCTGTGATTGCTATACGTAAGTATTTAAATCTCAAGTCAGTAGACTCTGTGGGGCTCAGTTTCTTCACCTGCAGAAGGAGGGGAATGATGTCCATCTCCCAGTTATTGGGAAAATTAATGAGATGTCCTATGAAGCTTCTAATGTAGGGTCTTGCTGGTCCTTGCTTCTTCTTCATAGAATTCCTGGGAATGGGGAATCAGATCATATGTTGCCTTTTGGCAAGTTTCAGTGCCACCCATATTGCTGTCCGTCACACATTGTGCTTTAAGACTATTTGAGCAGATATTATACTCATGACTGACTGCCAAATTATCCAGGTGCCTTTGGAAATGACTAATATACAAGTGCCACATTCTTCATGCTGCAGAACCACAGAAAGCATTTTGTCATTACCWTTTCATAGCTACATAGCCTGCCATACCATCAGAAAATCGTGACAGGAAAGGTAGCAGAATACAACAGTTACTAATATGGCATTTTGTAAAAATGTGGATGTGTAACCGATGTGATTCTGCAATCTGTATTTGGGGTAAAAATGGGAGTTCATAACCCAATTGAATCTAATGTATGAAATATGATATGTCAAGAGCTTTGTAAGGTTTTGAACAACCAATAAAATAAATAAATAAATAGGAAAATCGTGACATTTCTGCCTCAGCTTTCATATGCTTATGGTTTTGGTAATTTTGAGGTTTTTCTTTTCATTTTCTTTTGGTACCAGTGATTGAACCCAGAGGGGCTAGCAGTGAGCCACATCCCCATCTCTTTTTTGTTTTATTTTGAGACAGGATCTTGCTAAGTTGCCTGGGACCTCACTAAGTTGTTAGGTCTGGCTTTGAACTTCTGATCCATCTGCCTCAGCCTCCTGAGCTGCTGATATTGCTAGTGTGCACCACTGTGCCCAGCCCGATCTTCATATTTTTAAAGTAAATTTGTTAACTTTCCCAATTGGGAAGGAAATGGCACACATGTTTTAACAGARACATTGCCTCCACCTGTTAGCCCGTTGATTGTCCCTGATATGCTTGGTTTTAGGACATATCTCTAAGGCATGGCCAAAATGTGGGGTTTTCCCAGCCATGTAAGGCAAGCTGTGTCTTCATCTTCGAAGATTTCTGGGATCTGTTATTCAGCAGTGTAAATTTATGTCTAATAGCATATCCACTGGTAGTGATTATTGTGCCCAGTTGTTTCTAATTCTAATTGTGGAATTTCATGTAATCTTCTCTTATTCAGATATTTCTACTTGAGATTATGCTGATGATTTTGGGGAGTGTGGTTAGGATACACAGTTTAATCTCCAGTTTTTTCATGTATGGTCATCTAGGACAGGGAATCTCAGTGATTCTGCCAACCCAGTGATCCTAAGAGACATAATACATGGTGGTTAGCAATCATGTCTCATAGAGTGAAAGACAATGATTCTCAGTGAAGGGAAATGGTAAGAGTCTCAGGCAGGGGTTGTGTGGGGTTATAAATGGTCTCCCTCCACTGAGGTAGGATGCATCTCATCGTCTAATTACAATCATACCTATAATGTTGTTTTAGTACATGATGTTGCTTCTTTGAGAGGAGAAAAGATTTAAACAAATCATGGATTTTTTTTTTCTTTTTTCTTTCTTTATTTTTTTGCACTACTAGAGATTGAACCCCGAGGTTGCTCTACCATTGAGCTGTATCTAGAGTCTTTTTATTTTTTATTGTTGAGATAGGGTTTGGTTAAGTTGTTCAAGCTGGCCTTCAATTTGGGATCCTTCTGTCTTTGCTTTCCAAGTAGTTAGGATTATAGGCTTGCACTACCATTCCTGGCTCATAAGTGACTTTTTATAAAAGCTTACTTTAGATATTATATAATATATGAGTTTATAAGGGCTAGTTACATAGCCCTTATAAGTAAAAGTACTATGGTAAATATATGTGAATTTCTTCTGACAAGGTCTTTTATATTAATATTTGCTTGTGGCTCTTAGGAATGTTTATTTCTCATTGGATTGCTTTCTCCATACAGTTATAAAAACAGTGTCTTTCCTAATTGCTTAATATGTGGCCTTAGAAAATTGTCACCTTTTCCTTTAGGGGTTTTTGGAGTATCTAAGAATAAATAAATAAGAACACTTCTTTTATTACAGGGGTGCAGATCTCTCTGCTTTGGTAMGAGAAGCTTCTCTCTGTGCCCTGAGACAGGAAATGGCAAGACAGAAGAGTGGAAATGGAAAATGTATGATTTTCACCACAATATTTCAATTTATCACTGAATAGTTAAAACCACTGTTGCCCTGGAAAATGACCAGCTTTTAGTATCTATTTTCTGTTACAATAATGCTTATATTCTCTAATGAACCTTTAGAAGCTGTTCTGTAATATTATATAACCTCTGTCTTTGATAATATAATAATGATAAATTAATCATTGTCTCTCTAAAATCAGTAGAATTATATTTTATCATCATACACAAGTGATTAAGTAGAAGCAAATCTATTCATTCTCTCCATTATGAGTGTTCCACTTATCAATTCTAGAAGCCCTCATCCTTTTGCTGAAGTATCATCTCCTTTCCTGTTAAAATACAATGTAGGAAAGAAAAAAAAATGCAGCCTAAATTGCAAAGGTTAGAAATATATGTAAGTTGTGGAAATTAGAGACCTTTCCATATTGGGACTTTCCTTTCAAAATACAAGATGGGCTGGGCGTATAGCTCAGGGCAGAGCCCTTGTCTAGCTTGCACGTAGACCCTACATTTCATCCAGCACTATATCCCAGCATCAAAAAAACAAACAAAATGAAAACCTACTGTTACTAATCAATCCATGTAGTCCACTATGCATTCATTTGGGAACATTTCAACAGCTTTGCAGCATCCTTCACTTTTGACAAAAGTGTGTTATGGATGAAAATTTTTGTGACCTTCATTCCAACCATGCCATGTACTCTTTACTTTGCTGGTCTGCTGTGAACAGTAGTTTGGCCAGTTGCAGATTATGAGTGTTTCTGCAATTTTGCAGAATACTTTTGTTCACGAGAGGTATTTTGTCCTCTGTACTTGTACTTTCATGGGAATGTCCAGTGTGTATTGCATGCCTGCCTGTAGATTTTTAAAAAATGACTTTATGCATTTATATTGATTTTTCTTTTTTTCTTGCATTGCAAGAATCTCAAAGCTGAATTCTTTTTATGGCTAAAGCAGCACATACTTAGATTAGATTTGACAACACACATATCTTCATTAAGATGAAATTATCTAGTCATGTGTAGTGGCACACACCTGTATACCCAGGTACTCAGAGGGCTGAGGCAGGTTCAAGACCAGCCTTAACAACATACCAACACCCTGTCTCAAAATTAAATAAGGACTGAGGGTGCAGCTTTGTGGTAGAGCATCTCGGTGTTCATTACCCAGTGTACCACCTCCCTGCCCCCCAAAAAAAGAAAAGGAAAAAAACGATTTATCTGAATTTCTTTTTTTAAAGTGTTTATTTTTTAGTTGTAGTTAGACATAATACTTTTATTTATTTATTTTTATGTGGTGCCGATGATCGGACCCGAGGCCTCGCACATGTGAGGCGAGCGCTCTACCGCTGAGCCACAATCCCAGCCCCTGAATTTTTTTTATTTCTTTTTGGAAATAGGTAATATATCAATGAGCAAAATTAGAATTTTGGGAGGGGGGTGGGGGGAGTTTCCAGAGATTGAACTGAGCCACATCCCAGCCCTATTTGTTATTTTATTTAGAGACAGGGTCTCACTGAATTGCCTAGCAGAATTTGTGATTCTCCTGCCTTAGCCTCCTGAGCTGGTAGGATTACAGCTATGAACCACCACGCCCAGCTAATTAGAATATTTTGTAACATGAAAAATCAGTATTCCATCTGAAAAATGAATCTGATCATTTTCTTAGTGTGTATTTGGTCACTAAAGAGTAACAGACCCTAGCACATATATTGGTGCTGCTAGTATTAATTTTGTTTGTATCTTATTTTATGTATGTTTATGAAAATTTTTTWAAAAATTTTTTAGTTGTAGTCAGACACAATACCTTTATTTTATTTATTTATTTTTATATGGTGCTGAGAATCGAACCCAGGACCTCGTATGCGCTAGGCRAGAGCTCTACCACTGAGCCACAACCCCAGCCCCTCAGCAACACATTTTATTTTCTGTTTAGGTAATAATTCTATTCTAATTCTATGGAGAAAACTTGTTATTTTTAATTATAAATTGTCACACGAGTTATCATATTAACATTAGAAACCAAACTGTATTTTAACATTATGTATTTTATTTCATTTACTTATTTAATGTGTGTAATTCAGTATTTTGATACTTTGGTATATGTATATTAAATGTAAATGATTTTCCAAGTCACATCATACTATGTTGTACACTTTTTTAAAATTTTTTTTTAAAAATCTGTCCCCAGGCATTATATTTACCTTTTATTTTTTTAATTTTAATATTTATTTTTTATTCTTGGCAGACACAACATCTTTGTTTGTATGTGGTGCTGAGGATCGAACCCGGGCCGCTCATATGCCAGACGAGCGTGCTACCACTTGAGCCACATCCCCAGCCCTTTTTAAAATTTTTTTGAAGAGAGAGAGAGAGAGAGGAGGGAGATTTTTAAATATTTATTTTTCAGTTTTTGGTGGACACAACATCTTTATTTATTTTACATGGTGCTGAGGATCGAACCCAATGCCCCGTGCATGCCAGGCGAGCATGTTACCGCTTGAGCCACATCCCCAGCCCTACACTCTTAAATAGTATGACATTCTACTTTCCTTTTCTAGTCAAATATATTTGAATCATCCTGAAAGAGAACAGTTTTGCTCCTTCTTTATAAATGTCAACATTGAGTTGAGTTAAGCAGAGCAAGGATGGCCTACAAAGGATTATTTATGAGTAATTAGTCTCTTTGGTTGGCACTGCATTATAAACTGATGAGTGGAATATTGGGTAAAGAATAGAACCCATCTCCTCATTCAGTGTCCTCAGTTTTCTTTGAAAGCTGACATTTTCCAAGAGAAACTAAGTTATAACTCACAGTTAGTATTCTCTACTGAGAAGTATATATTTGTGCATTTGCTTCACAGGTGAGCTCAAGATTAATCATACACACTTTGAAGAAGCTTTCAAGAAAGTGAAACCATCTATATCAGTAAAGGTAAGAAACATTCTTCTGTATCTTAAAAAAAGATTTGAGGTCAAAGCAGTAGACCTGAACTTGTTATTCATAAAATATTTTGTAGATCATTTCTTCTGAAAGAAATTGCATGTTAAATTTTGACCTGGAAACAAGCTAAATAATGACCTTTATGTTTGGGGAAATTTTAATTTTTACCGAATCATAGTTCTACACATTAGATGTCCAGCCCCTGTTTATTTCAGAGATAGTAAGTACTCATGTATGCTCCCACAGTCTCATAATTCTTACTCATTGATATTCAAATATTATTTGATCTACCCACCTTCCCCCTTTTAAAAAAAAAAAAAAAAAACCCAGGGGCACTTAACCACTGAGCCACATCCTCGGTCCTTTTTTTTTTTTTTTTTTTTTTAATATTTTATTAGGGTCTCACTGAGTTGCTTAGGACCTCACTAAATTGCTGAGGGTGGCTTTGAACTCAAGATCCTCCTTCCTCAGCCTCCGGAGTCAGTGGGATTACAGGCATACGCCACCGTGCCCAGTTACCCCACCATTTTTGACAAATAGTTTTTTATCTTCTTGGAGATGGACTGTACCCAAAGTAACCCATAGAGATTACCCTTATATTTCAGGGAGGTGGAAATACATTCACCACAAGGAGAAAAAGTGTTTAAAAAAAATCACTCTGACTTCTTCCATAAAGTGCCAGGTTTTACATGTGTTGTCCTATATTCAGGTTTTCTATCTGCAGTAGACTAAAATGGTTGCTATAAGTGAAATTAGGTTATTGTGGTGATTATAGAAGGTTGGAATAAAAATGTCTAACCCTAAGAAATGTCTGAATTGGACACAGTTGTGATGTTTTATTTGTTCACTTGGGATTCATAAGTTTCCAGAATCTGCTTTAGTCATGAGGACCTGTTTCTTGACTGTATTAAAACTCCCCTTAAATCATTGGCCATTTATCACCCCAGATTCAGCAATTCTCATTATGATTTTTGATTGAAACTCTTTTTACATCAGGGTTCAAAGCAATTGTATGAATTGAGGTGCTGTGTTTCATGCCCCATGTTCTACGTGTTATCTTAGTTGACCATCTTATGGCTTTAACTGAAGTGAGTAACCTGTTAAGGGTTTGCGCTGGTGTAGTATCTTATGGGCATATGACTTTTTCAGCTGGAGTAAGAACTGACCTCACCTGGACTGAGACTTTAACCATGGCTAGAAAACAACAGTCTGCTTTGAATTCTCAGCATCTTGGGTACTAGAGAAAATGTTTTTCTTTTACTGAAAATCTTTCAGTAAAATATAGTCTTACTAATTAGAATCAGTTTTGTAAGGGATATTGTTGGCCCTTTTCATTCTGATCTAYAAGAGAGTAGGTCACAATTTTTCTTGCAAAGATTTAATGGTGTACATTTTTTTCTTTTAAAGAAAATTATTTTTTACTTTGATCCTGCATTTTAGTTGTCACATTGTTAGAACATATGACTTAGCTCCACATTTGTTACTCTTCAGCTCTAGCCTTACTTTCTACATTGAAATTGTACAAGCTTAATTGTACCATTCCTTGAGTCTTGGACTTTGTCACCAGCACTACTGTCAAAGTACAGAACATTTCTATCCGTTCAGAAACTTCTGTGTTCTTTTGTAGTCAAAACCAACTCCATAACCAACCACTGATCTGATTCTACCACCATACTCTCACTCTGCCTGTCTTAGAACATTTTTTAGATGGAATGGTAAAACCAGTAGTTCTGTCTAGCTTCTTTCACTCAGTGTGATGTTCTGAGATTCTTCTCTGTTGTTCTGTTTTTCAGTAGTTGAGTCCATTCTTCTGCTGAGCAATATGCCTTTGTATAAATATGTCACAAGTTTTCCTATCCTTTCACCTATTAGCGGACACTTGGGTTGTTTCCAGATGTGGCCTTTATGAATAAAACAGCTGTGGATATTCTGCGCACACACATACCTACACACACACACACACCTATTTACATGAATATTTGTTTTTATTTCCTTAAAGTAAAAAAACTAGATGGAATAGCTGGGGCATGTAGTGAGTGTGTGTTTTATACATACACTTTAAAGTAAACATCAGCCTGTTTTTCACAGTGGCTGTTCCATTTTATATTTTTGCTCTCCTTTCTCACTAAGAGTTGGATACAGTGAATCTTTAATTTTAGCTCATTAGCCATTCTACTGAATGGAAATATCTAGTAGCAAATTGTGATTTAAATTTCCATTTTCATTTAAATTGTGGAGCATATTTTCATGCTTATTGATCATTTGTATATCTTATTTTGTATTCTTATCTTTTGCTCTTTTTAAAAAATTAGATTTTTTTTTTCTTAATGAATTGTAGATAGATTCTTAATTTTTCCCAGGTTGAAGTCTTTTATCAAATACACATTGACGACATTTTTCCTAATGTGTGGTTTATCTTTATATTTAAAGGTACCTTTGAAGAACAGGATTTTTATTGTTTGAATGYTGTCCAATTTTTATTTGTTTTGCATGGCTTATGTATTAAGAAATCTCTTATGTCATAAAAAATCTCTGGTATCCCAAATGGTTAAAATTTTTAATCCTGTATTTTTTTCCTTTAGAAATACTATAGTTTTAGGGGCGGGGTTGTGCCTCAGCGGTAGAGTGCTCTCCTAACAGGTGTGAGGCCCTGGGTTTGATCCTCGCACCACATAAAAATAAATAAATAAAGGTATTGTGGAAAAAAAAAGAAATAATATAGTTTTAGCTTTACATTTGTATGTATTTCCATTTCAAATTACATTCATCCATCAGTATGTGTGGGGGACCTGTTCCAAGACCCCCATAGGTACCAAAATCAAATCTAGATCATTTATACTACAAAATGCTATGTAAATAGATGTTGCAGTGTATAGTTAAGGAACTTATATGTTCATATGTCGTACAGACTCCTTTTTTTGCGGGGTGAGATATAATATTTGTATTTGATGTCAGGTAGGGATGGTAGTTACTTTTTCCCACATAGCTATCTACTCTGGCTCTGGTTAAAAGATGATTCTGTCCTTCAGTGAACTATCATGCTCTCTATTTATTGATCACATACGTATATGTATGAATTTATTTTGGCACTGTTTCTCTGTTCATTGATCTTCATCTCTATACCACTAGGTCTTTTTGCCACCGTCTAAGTCATTACAGATTCATAATAAGTCTTGAAAGTAGGTTGAGTACATGCCCCAAGTTTGTACTCCCACCTTTTTTCCTTATCTATTTTAGGTCCTTTGTATTTCCATATAATGTTGAGAATTGGCCTATCAATTTTTATAGAAAAAAACCTGATGGGATATTGAATGACATTTTATCGAATCTGTAGATCAGTTGCAAGAACTTAAGAACATCCCTTGGAAGGGTATATGTATGTTCTAGTAAAATGTGACTTGCTTCTGTTGTTTTTTCGCTATCTTTGGGGAATATGTCTTACACTTTACATATTGTTTTGGAAAGCATCAAGTGAGTAAGGATCTACTATTTATCTATCTACTTATTTATTTAGAAAAAGGCATAGTATTAATTTTGAGTGAATAATGTAAAGAAGATAAGTTAAATGGATTATTACTGTTTGAACCTTTAAAAAATAAGAAGTATCATCAAGGTCAAGAGTCTTCTTTCCTTGTTTGGCTTACTTAACTAATCTTAAAAGATCCTTCTCAGAGTAGTCATAATGGTTGCTCATGGGGAGGGAGACTGAGTGAGTGGAGGATGACATTTCATATTTTAAAATCACAATTTTAAAATATTTTAAAAATCACAGTTGTAAGTTGAAGGAGACCAAGGTAATGAGAGTTATTTCTGGGAAGGATTTTTTTTATTTCTATTGTTTTGTGTTTTCTAATATGTTTGTAATAGATTTAGGGGGTTGGGGTGGATCAGGGACTGAACTCATGGGCACTTGACCATTGAGCCACACCCCCAGCCCTAGTTTGTATTTTATTTAGAGACAGGTCTCACTGAGTTGCTTAGCACCTCGCTGTTGCTGTGGCTGACTTTGAACTGACAATTCTCCTGTCTCAGCCTCCCGAGCTGCTGGGATTATAGACGTGCACCACCGCACCCAGCATAGATATAGTTTTGTAATAAAGTTACTTGTAAAAAAGGAATTTTTTTAGTCTGATTAAACAAAAGATGCTTAAGATAACTTTACTATGTTATTTAGTGGTGATGTTGAGAAACAAAGGCCCTTTAGTCCTATTTAAGAGTTAAATCAGTATTTTCTTAGTTCCCTCTGGAACAATTTGGAAGTTACTTGAAAAATTTACTTCTTCCAGGAAATGGTTTTCTATTTTGAATGAAATATTTACTCTGTCTGTGTCTCAGGCTGTCAGTGCTGCTGTCTCAAAAATACCATAAACTTGTTGGCTTATAAACAATAAGCATTTGGCCATGGTGTAAGGAAATAGACATACTCTTACTCAGTTGGTGGGTTATCCATCATTCTAGCCCTTATGGATAGCAGTTTGGCTTGTCTGCCAAAATCACAATTATAACAATACATGACCCAGTTTTCTGTTAATTTATCCTCAAGAAAATATAGTAAAGATTAAAACTTTAAGTATTTGTATTATGAATTATGATATAACTTTTCTAAAATCTAAAGAATATCTCCCAAATATATCATTAAATAAAAAATTTAGGAATTATRTTTAGAAAATACTGTAGTATTTTTTGTACCCAAAAAAAAGGTAAAATAATAAATTATGACATTTGCTTATATATGTAGAAGGAGAATCTGAAAAGATAAATTACATTGGTTGTAGGGGAGGGAAGTATAGGAGAGTCTTTTTCCATTCATATTTTTATATATTTTTAAATCTTATAAATATTATATACTTATCCAGATGAAAACTTTAACACAGTTGCCTTTTAAAATAGATTTTAAAGGGCCAGGATACAAACAAAAACATGCAGCGTTTCTTTCAGATAAATATATAGGAGTAGAATTACCACCCAGCTTAAGAGATTAAGAGATTCCATCACACACCTTTCAGAGTGAAATAAAATTTTATAGATTGGCAGCACCAAATAGTACCAAGATGTTAGGCAACTAGATTGTTACTTATAAACATAAAATGGTTCAACCACATTGAAAAACATTCGTACTTTCTTGGAAATGTAAATTACACTTTAAGAATTTTCTACTTTTGCCTTGTGTTTCCATCTGGATTTGTGATACTTTAGAATTATACCTGCTTTACTAATTAGATATGGGCATAAGAATCTCTTTGTTTATTTTAGCTTTATTTTTAATTTGTTTTTATGTGGTGCTGAGGATCAAACCCAGTGCCTTACAAGTGCTGCTAGGCAAGCACCCTACCACCCAGCCACAACCCCAGTTCCTCTTGATTGATTTTTCAAGGCAAAGCTTAGTAGACAGTGATGAGAGTCATGTCAAATACAGATACATTCTGAGGTCCTAAGTGTTAGGGCTTGAACCTGTGAATTTGAGGGGTACACCATTCAGCATATTTGTGATCAGCTCTATATTCTGTTTCTCTCCTCCTCTCAGGATCAAATGATGTATGAAGCTCTTCATCGCTCCCTCAGCCGGTGACATATTAAGCAGTTGCTTGGAGGAGTCCAGACATCAAGCTAGCAGAGAAAAATACCTGCTCTGAAGTACCCACTTTCAGTTTGACCCAGATGTGGTCTCATGTAAACATTTTTCAAATTAATGTACTGAAGCTAGAGCTGAAGATTCTTCTCATCTGTTCCATCCTTGTGGGAATATTCTCTATTTTCTCTTTAAGACAAAGAAATTTTTTTAAAACTGCCAAAATAAAACTTTATTCAAATGAAATTTTTATTTTGAATCAGTATACCCAAAAGCTACACATTTTTCCCCCTGAATTCTCTGAAAGTACATGTCCAGCCCAATGCCCCTTCTCGCCAAGTACATTCATGTAGACTTCCTAAACACTAGGATATTCTACATAATCAACCATCAAAATCAGGATATTAGCATTATCAGTTTGCTGCCATCTAATCTTCAGGCCCTACTCAAGTTTCTCTAGCTATCTTAGTGAGTTGTTGAGTCTCTCTGGTCTTATAATGTGGAAGCATTCCTCTGCCTTGACATTTGCATACACACTCACCCCCACATACCTATTTTCTTTATTTGGACTTCATACATTTTAAGCACATGCTCCATCACTGACCTAGAAGTGGATGCCCATGTTATGTTACAGACAGTCTTCCAAGACCAAGGTAAATGTCAGGATGGGAAAAGTAAGTGGACTTTCAGGAGCTTCTCTCCACCTTCATCTGCACAGCGGCTCTTCTCCCACATCCTCCTCCCACATCCATCCAGTGGAAAGCTTCAGTGCTTCTCTAATTGTCCTCAGACACTGATTACTTAGAAATGTTCCTGAAATCCATCCCATTGGTTTTCACAGCACCACCCTAACATAGGCTGTCATTACCTTTCAAGATTCCTGCTATGGCTCTCAGGAGTTGAGGCAGGAGGATTGCCAGGAGGCCAGCTTCAGTAACTTAGCAAGGCCTTAAGCAACTTAATGAGACTCTGTCTCAAAATTAAAAAAGGTGTGGATGTAGCTCAATAGTAGAGCACCTCTGGGTTCAATCCCCAGTAACAAAAGAGGTGGGGGACAGTATTAGTGTACTCTGATAATGGGGTGTACTGGTCCTCTGAATTCTAAGAGTAACCTACCAGATACCCACACAGGCCCAAGTGAGGATTTGGTTATTTCAGGTACTTTAAGATAGACAAAAGCAGCCTTGAAGTTCCTGAAAAGGAACTTAGGCACCTATTATTACTGAGACCCATATATCAGAGGTATTAACCTATAGCATGCCTAAAGTTAGATGTTGGTTAGCTGTATGATCTGTAAAATTGACAATAGAAGCAAGAACCTGGAATCAGGTGAGACTGAAGGACTTATTAAATTTTTCCTTCTATTTTCCTGGAACTCAGGCCTAATGTCCATATCCTTAGCCTGGAAACTTGCTGTACCAAATTCCCCTTTTTTGCATCTGCACTGCAAAGCCTAGGTTTTCTATTTCTGTCTTTCTACTCTTACCCAAGAGTAGGGAAGTGCTAACCTAAGTTAACTCTTGACTCACCTAATTTTTGGCCCTTCCTACTTTTCTGAGAATTCATTCATTTTGATGGGTTCTGTGGAGTCAAGAGGCCCTTAGAAAAGTGGTCTGAAGTAGTTGAAGCCCTCCATCCAAGGCATACAGGTAGCCTCGTCTATCTACCTCCTTTCACCATCCCCAGGAAACTATGGGAGGAAGTGCCTCCACTAAAATGAGGAAGTCAGTGAAGGGAAAAGAAAGACATCTCCAGAGAGATGGAGATAATAAGGAAGCTTGACAGAGGATAGCAGTATTTTCCCTGGAGGACCACCATTCCAGGCTGTGCTGTCTCAGGAGACAGACTCATTTAAGATTATGACCATGGAGGATCCAACTGCTTTGGTATTTGAAGACAAAATGCCCAGGTGTACCAAGTCCACTACATACCCTGATTCTCAAGAGTACCTGGGGACATTGATATTCCTTCCAGGCAAAAAATCCACAGTGGCCACTGACCTTTGACCACATTTTTGCTGGATAAGCAATACCTCATCACACCCTCGCTATTGGCACTCCCAGAAGGTCTCCAGAGACATGAGAAGAGCTGAAGCCCGCACCTGTGCTCAGCTCATCTTCTGGAAGCTTGTACCTAGCTGGAGCATAATTGCCCTTCCTTGACCAAGCCAGGTCTGTGATTGCTGCTCAGCTTCTCAAAACTCAACAGTGTTTTTAAGATTTGCTTATAAGGAAGATAATTAAGAAGAAATGCAAGAAAGTAACATCTGGATAGTGGTCACTTGTGGTGAGTGGGAAGAGGCATGCGATTTTTTCTTTAAAAGTGATTGTTCTTGAGGCTGAGGTTGTAGCCTAGTGGTAGAGTGCTTACCTAGCATGTGTGAGGCACTGGTTCGATCCTCAGCACCACATAAAGATAAATAAAGGTATAAAAAATACAATAATATTTAAAGAAATGTTCTTTTTCTGAACCTGTGGTAAGCAAATGGGGTTTACTTCTCTAAGCTGTACATTTGTATTTTGTACTCTTTTTTGTGTTTATGTCTCACAATAAAAGCAATTTTTAAAAGTTACATATTGCTTTTGGAAGAATAAATACAAGTAATTATTTCTACTGAAATAATTGGCTGAGGCAGAAGTGATTCAATTGTGTAGATGGTTTCATGTGAGCCGCTGACAGCTTTAGCTCAGCTCAACTAGCAGAAAGCAATCGTCGGGCCTGTAAGCCTTGGATTTCTGCCACCGTTGACTCACTGAGCAAATGAATCTGTCTTCAGGAATACGTGCAGTTTAGTCAAGCATGGCACACACCTTGGAGGCCGAGGCAAGAGGATCACAAGTTTGAGGCCAGCCTCAGCAATTTAGCAAGACCCTGTCTTAATTAAAAGAAAAAGAGAGAGAAAGAAAGAAAAAGAGGTCTGAAGATGTAGCTCAGTGGTAATGTATCCCCTGGATTCAATCCTCAGTACCCCGGCCCCCACCCCCAAGTGCGGTTCAGACAAGCATTTGTGCTCACCTCAATTTCAATATGAAATACACATGGTAAATGTAAGAAGTACAAAAGAAAAACTAAAAACTGATACCCTTTTGTCCCCATGCTTTGCATGTTTCCTTCTTCCCCTGTAGTCAAGTCCAATTAGCTGGCTGTTTGGTGAGTCAGCACACTAAGAATTTCTTCTGTGTTAGTCACATAAATTGCCTCAGCATGTACAGTCTATATATGTGTATGTAATATATACACACATGTACATAAGTGTGGCTATTAGGAAATGGTAAAACCTTTAAGATGTGGGCCTTCCTGGAAAAAGTTAGATCATAGGGGAGGTCCTTAAAAGGGATTTGGGATCCTACCCCTTCCTCTTTCCTTTCATAGCGGCCATGGAGTAAATGGATGTACATCAACCTATGATGTACTGAGCCTCCACAGACTGAAAGCAACAGGGCAAAATAAGCAAAAAAACTACCTTTCCTCTTTTTCAAATTGCTATACCTTAGATATTTGTTATACTATTAAGGAATGGAATCCCTTTTTTTTTTAATTTTATTTTTTTT